GCATCTGATGGTTGGTAAGGGACAAGAAAAATAGATGGCTGGCTGGAATGGAAGAACAGCAAAACCATTTTGAACCCATGGTCTAGAGGATGGGCATTATGGTTAGATACTCATTAGCTCAAGGTTAATTCAGGAGAAGGGAGTTTGCTCCTGAAGGAGAAGTAAGATTTGGCTGAATTGCCACTCATGAAACTTGAACCGTCCGGCTTTCAGCATCATCAGCTCTGAGCCCGTTGGAATTTGCAGAACATCAAAGTGGGGTCTGAGGCAGCTGCTGCTAGCTCAGTGTCTAAGAAATTCCTTATGACACTGCCAAGCTTGTGGAGGGAGAGGGTCACCTGCCTTGACAGATTTCAGTGTCGCTGGAATGGTTTCATTTTGAGGAAAGATTCCTGCTACCTGCAAATTGGTAGACAGGCATCCAGATTCTAGAAATCTTCATCTTTCCCAGTTTATTAAATCCAGAGTAACTCACAGTAGAACCATCTTGCGGATCCCATCTGCACGTAAGTTGAGCAGGTTGAACTTCAACTGTACTTCAGGTGAACCTCTGATCTGTGAGCCGACAGACAGCCATTTTCCGAGCTCAAGGGTGGCACTGTCTATGGCATTTACATGATTTTGTTTAAAAAGCTGGGAAATCAAAGGCAAGTGCTGAGTTTGCTGGTAAGAAATGCAGGGTTCCCAGTACAGCACAAGCAAGGGAGAGGAGAGTGATTGGCGTGCCTACGCGAACAATCTATAGTTGCACTTGCTCACTTTGGCTGTAAATCGCGCGTGTTTTTAATTGTGAAGGAAAATAAAATTGTAGAACACATATGAAAACCTGGAAATAGATTTTTTTTTATATTAATGCCTAATAGGCAAATTCTAATGAAGGAGTTTGGAATGTTCTGTATCTTTCTGGGAATGAAACTCCTGGTACCAACTCCCTATGCCCCTCATAATAGCTAAGTCCATTGTAACTTTCAGTAATTGGTTTTTTATTAAAATAAGAGACTGCAGTATAAATTTTAGCGACTAGGCTAAATAGGCATTAACAGGCCCTGGGATCCAACCACAATTTGTAACATCGTTCCATTGGGAAAATAGATTCTAAGTGCCCAATAACTAACTTACAAATAGACTTTTGAATCATAGTCCATTTGAGAATAAGGAACTGTTTGTGATAGTAATACCTTCGATTGGCTTGCTTGAGAACTGCACAGAAGGGACCTATATTCTGCCACACATGTGCAGTGAACCCAGCTAGTCTGGGTTTGATCAAAGATTATTGCTGAGTGGGCACTGGAAGCTGAGGAATTAAAACCAAAGTAGAGGCTGGAGACAAGTCAAGGGTGGAGTTAGGAGGATGCATCTGGAGAGGTTTTAGTGGTAAGGAAGGTGTTCAGTCTCACAGGCAAACGTGTGATTCTGCACAGATGAAGTAAGAGAACAGGATGGTTCAGGTAGGAACGGAGGTGAGAAGTAGAGAACATCGCAAGCAAAAGGAGTAAGATACAAAGAAAAGAAGGATCAACCAGAAAATAGATTCATAATTATAGAGCACGAACTGAGGGCTGCTGGAGGGGAGGTGGGGGGGTGGGGGAAATGGGTGATGGGGATTAAGGAGGGCATGTGATGAGCACCGGCTGTTGTACGGAAGTGATGAATCACTCAGTTCTACGCCTGAAGTTAATATTACACTGTATGTTAACTAACTGGAATTTAAATTAAAACTTGAAAAAAAAAAAAAAAAAGGAAAGGAAAATGTAATGCAAAATGTACCAGGAAGGCAGAATGGCCCACATAGTAACAGTAATGTTTGGTGCTCTCTCTACAACCGGAGAGCATAGCTGCCATGTTTCTAACAGTCTGCAGTTCGGCACAGCCTCGGGGGCGTCATTCACTCCCATGGGCATCTCCTGCTCCAGGACGCCGGGTGCTGCCCTCCCATCCCGTCCGTGTACCAGCAGCCTTCTCTTCCATGTTCGGTACTACGCATGTATCTGTCGTGCAGTTACTACATTTTATTAGACAATAAGCATGAGGGCAGTTGTTGCGTGCTCAGTCTGTGTGCCCTCGCGTTGTCTTGGTCACAAGCCATGCCTTTTCATCTCTATATCCATTATGCCAAGAGTAGCAGTGCTGCATCACCAGTGGGCTCAAGGAGTTGTCTTTGCTCAGTCTGCTATACCAAAAATACCATAGACTGGCTGGCTTCCACAACACAAATCCATTCCTCGTGGTTCTGAAGGCTGGGAAGTCTAAGATCAAGGTGCCCGCAGATCCACTGTCTGACAATGGCCCTCTTCCTGGTTTATGGACTGGCTGCCTTCATGCTGTGTCCTCCTGTGGCTGAAGGCGCAGAGTGGGGTGCGGTGGGGAGAGAGAAAGGGAGAGAAGGAAGAAACTCTCTTGTAGCTTCTTGTTAAGGGCACTAATCTCATTGTGAGTGCTTCCCCCCTGTGACCTAATGACCTCCCAAAGGCCCCCACCTTCAAATACCATCACACTGGGGATTAGGGTTTCAATGCCTGAGTTTTCAGGGGATACAAACATTCCGTCCATAGCACTTTGCGTGGTTCAACCTGAAAACATTTCAACTTAGTATCATCCGTGTTCCCCAGGCCACTGCAGGCTCTGGCCTAGGAGGCCCTCAGGAAGAGGGGCCACGTGGGTGACTGTGTGTCCCTGCCTGTCGCTGTTGAAACTCCAGCTCCCTTTCAGGTCCTTCCCTACACAGTTAATGGATTGACTGATTGTGGGGGGAAGGGGAAGATTGTACATGTCTCAGTAACCACCTTTCTGCCGTTTACCATCCCACTGCTGGGCACCCTCCCTGTTCATGGCCCAGAGCCTCACGCACCGATAGGTGGTCAGCTGCCAGCACTCGGGCTGAGGAAGGAGGGTCCAGTCTGTCTTCCTGGGTGGGCCAGAGATACTCCCACGTGGAGAAAGTACCCCTTATAATACTACTACCGCTGCGTATCTTCATTTGTACGTGCCCCCTTACAAAAACACCGCAGACAGGGGTCTCCTTATCTCAGGGATTTGTATTCTTCAACCTTTTCCTCCGTAAGTCCAGGGGGAGGGGGTGGCAATGGAAGTAAAGGGCACTGGGCTAGACCGTGCCTCCATGACAGTGTTGGCATGTTGGCCACGGACCAGATCTGCAGAGCTTGCCTCATCCCTTTGAGTAGCATATTTCCCAAGAGGTTTTTCTGTCCACCACGCATCGACCCCTGGCAAGCACACTCCTCGGAATTGCCCAGACTTGTCTGAGCTCCCCGGTGAGTGCACCCAGGCTGCCACACCGGGATTTCCCTGAGTGGGTGGGAGTTTTTCTACCCAGATTCTAAAGGGCAGGCTGTTTGCACAGACAGGGTAAACATAGATGTTTTGTTTGAGATTCAGAATTATGCAACTAATGAAGAGTGAAAAGGTATGAAGTTTCCTTTATTTTTGCTAAAAGTCAACTGTTATTCTTAGGACACTCTTCTATCAATTATGCTTCTGTTATTACCTTGACAAAGAAGGCATTGTCAGTGATGGCATTTATTCACTGCCTGAAGCAGTACCACTGTGTATTTTCCTGGACGTAGGAAATTCTTAGTGCATAAACAGTAACCAGAGGAAGAATGGGCTTCATTGAGTGCTTATTATGTGCCAAGCCCAGCGCTAAGCAGGTGGCACCAATTAGCTCATTTGTTTGTAACAAAAGTGCTATGAGGTTACCTATTCTTAGCTGTTTTACACTAAAGAATTGCTGTTTAAAGAGGCTAAGTAACTTGCCCAGGGTCACAGAGGTAGTAAGTAGAGGGTTGGGACCAGACCCTGAGCCATCTGAGCACAGAACGGGGCTCTAGACCACAGTTATGCCTCAAATACATCTTTCTGATAAGTGTCGTCTCAAGTCTCTTGTCAAGAATGAAAAGGGAGCAGTAAGACAAGAGAACTTGCGCCGCCCTTTGCGATGGTAGCGGATCCTCAGTTTAACTAGAGGTAGAAAGATTCCTGTCCATTCGACATATTTCTTTAAGATGGTAATTTATGTTATCAGGTGGATAAATTATATGTAAATGTAGTTTAATAGCCAAAGGACACTTGTCCAGACAGATAATTTCAGCAGACTTTTGTGCTCCCCTCATTAACTTAAACCATATTTTTTATTATGAGCTAAAAATTTCATTCTTATATTTGAACCAGATATCCTAGTCATAGTCATAAATTCAACTGGGAAGTCAGACATACTTTTTTTTTTAAATCTAAAGAAAGATGCTGTGCTTTAATTGCATCTGATTAAGACATCACACCAAGGCACTTATTTCGGCTGGTAGTGATGTCTTAAAAAGTACTGTTTTAAAATGTTTAATTTGATTAGATATTTTCTGTAACATGAAAAAATGACCAGTTTGTGTCTTCTTCTAATGACCCATGGGGAGAAATTTTAATTTGAAGATTTCAGCAGAGGATAGAAATTAATCTTTTGTGTATATCCCCTAATACCTTTTGGAGGCTTTAAAGATTATCTGTGCAAACTGAGAAATGTTTGCCATTTAAGTTTTAGCAACTTTATCTTTTGAAAAGAAAACCCAAAAATACAACATCACGCTTTCATTTATATGGAGTTTCCTATTCTAGAGGCACCAAGAATAATATATATGTAGTGTAAAGGAGGAGGGAGAAAAACAGTCAGAAGAACCTTAACAATTAAAGTTCCAATGGAGAAGAATTTGGATGCTCTGGTTCAGCCTAGACTGCAACCAGAGTAGGTTACTGTAAATATCAAATGTAAATACCATTAAAGGGGATGTTTTCACCCATAAAACAGACCTAGCAGGCAGTTCAATGGAATTTTAATGTACATGTATATATACCCACATCAAATTAAACTCTGTATGTTTTACATTAGAATGGGCATGTCCTCACTTTAAGGAACTTTTGATTTTTTTCTTAAGTTCTGTTTTTGATATATTGAACACATAAATACATAACACCCCCCCCCCATCTTGTTTCAGGCAACAAGGGCAGCCATTACGCAGCACTGCACTGACCTTGGGAATCTGTTGGGCAAGGAGAATGACGTGGCCCTCATCATCGATGGCCACACCCTGAAGTATGCGCTCTCCTTTGAAGTCAGGAGAAGCTTCCTGGATTTGGCGCTCTCCTGTAAAGCGGTCATATGCTGCAGGTAGGCATGTGCAGGCTGTGCGTGGTTCACATTCCAACATGGCTATCTCCTGTGCTTTTATTAAAAAAGACAGTGCATAGAAATTATAGGGGTAAAGTTTCATTTAAAAAACAAGCAAAACAAAAATACTAGTTTAACTGTCCGTTCACAGATTTGGGGGAAAACAGTTAGTGGTTTTTACAGGTTTGTTTATTGTCTTCTGAGAAGATAAAAGAAGAACCAGAGCCTCTCTCCTGGGAGATTAACTAGAATAAGTTAGAAGAGCCCTATGTATGTGGGTCCTTGGTTCTGGATATTTGAGCTCAACTTCCAAGACCTGTGGGATATATAGTGGATATTTCTATTCAGTCAGTAAGGAGCTTTGGTTGGGTCCATGCTATACCAATTTTTGTGTTAGGATCTAACCAGATAACTTTGTTCGTTTTTTTTGTTTGTTTTTAATTCCAGCTACTTAACATACAATGTTATATTAGTTTCAGGTGAAGGACTCTCGTTTTTTCATGAAAGCTGGCAAGGTTTTTGAGGGTGGGTGTTGCTACATTCCACTGACTACTGGCCATGTGAGGTCCAGTTCTGATAGAGATTTGAGAGTCAGAATGATAAAGAAAATAAGCTACTAGAAAGATGAGCAGCACCACCATGATTGTGCAGGAAACAACTTGAAAGGTGAGAGGAGAGCTTCCCTTTTCTGAAAACACTGTGCGTAGGCAGTACCTGGTACATGGTTAAAGGCATAATCCGTATCATTGGATTAATAATCTCATTTATGCTTGCTCTTATATTTTATGGTTACACAGTTTTTGTACATTGTTTTCTTCGGTATTTTGTCAGAAGTCAGTTATCAGGATGCTTTTAAATTCCTCACTGCATTAATCCTTTAAGAATCCCAGTTGGGGATTCGATCATGGTCGTCACATTGACAAGATGGTCTTGCTGTTTCTGCCTTACTAAAAGTCCCTAGTGAGATCATCTGCCAGTCCTCTCTACCCAGACCTCTCATGTTTGGGATGGCCAGTCTGGGAGAAAGCTATTAGGAAAATCTCTCCCTTGTCTCCCCAACCTTGCTCCCCACTCCCAGTGGTTCTTATCTGAGACCAAAGAGTTTGTTGCCATTCCCCCATGAATACACCTCCCTACTCAGAACCCTGAACTGTCTTCACATGATGATAGTTCTCTCTCATTTTATCCTGCTCTCTTGATCCCTTTCCATAATTTGGAACAGGTCATCAAAGGCCAAGGAGAACTGGGGTGGCAGCTGGTGGAGGCTCCATGGTAGTAGAGAATGTAGCTGTTGTGCTGTGGTTGTAGGATGTTCAAGGACCTCGGGGTGGTGGGGGAGGAAAAATTCAAATGTGTCTGAAACAATGAATGAGAACTTGGTGTTACCTCTAAGTCAGGAAACTTGGTGCAGCTGAAAGGGACCTGACATAGTGAGGAATGACCAGAGCATTTGGAAATGAAAGGCCATGCTTCCTGGTTTTATGATGATCTCCCATCCTTTCTTTTTTTTTAAACAACTTTATTGAGATATAATTCACATATCATATAATTCACCCATTTGGAGTGTATAGTTCAATGGCTTTTAGTATATTCAGAGAGTTTTGTAACCATCACCACAACCAATTTTAGAATATTTTAATCACCCCCAAAAGAAACCCTATTATCTATTATTAATCAATCCCCATCTTCCTTTACCCTCCCCTAACCTCCCTCAGTACTAAACAGCCACAAATCTGCTTTCTTATCTGTACAGATTTACCTATTAGGGACATTTCATATGAATGCAGTTATATAAGATGTGGTCTTTTTTTGATTCCCTTCACTCAGCATAATGTTTTCAAGGTTCATCCATGTTGTGGAATATATCAGTACCTCATTCCTTTTCCCAGCTGAATAATATTCCAATGGTATGGATATACCATTGCTAGTCATCCATCTTGGTTAGCATTTGGATTGTTTATACTTTTCGACCATTATGAGTAATGCTGCTGTGAGGATTCATGTACAAATTTTTGTATGGACATCTGTTTTCATTTCTTTTGGGTGTATACCGAGGAGTAGAAATGCTGGGTCAGCTGGTAAGTCTATGTTTAATTTCTTGAAGAACTGTCAGACTGGTTTCCAAAGTGGCTACACCCTTTTATATTCCCACCAGCAGTTTGTGAGTGTTCTAGCTTGTCCGCATCCATCCATTGATTATTATCTTTTTCATTGTTTAGCCTAGTGGTTGTAAAGTGGTATCTCATAGTTTTGATTGCATTTCCCTGATGGTTAATGATGTTGAGCATCCTTTCAAGTGCTTATTGGCCTTTTATATATATTCGTTTTTTAAAAAAGATTTTATTTACTTGAGAAAGAGCGTGCGCGCGCGAGAGAGTGCGAGAGCGCACAGAGGGAGAGGGAGAAGCAGACTCCCCACTGAGCAAGGAGCCCAACTTAGGGCTCCATCCCAGAACCCTGAGATCATGACCTGAGCTGAAGGCAGACGCTTAACTGACTGAGCCACCCAGGTGCCCCCATTTGTATATATTCTTTGGAGAAATGTCTGTTCAAGTCCATTTTTAAATGGGATTGTTTGTCTTTTTATTATTGAATTGTAAGTGTTCTTTATGTATGCTGGATACAAGTATCTTATCAGAAATATGGTTTACAAATATTTTCTCCCATTCTACTGGCTGTCTTTTCATCTTCTTGAAAGTACTGTTGACAGCACAAAAGATTTTAATTTTGATGAAGTTCAATGTATCTGTTTATTCTTTCATCCTGTGCTTTGGTGCCCTATCCAGTGGTTCCCTTTTTTAAGTAGCTGATACTATGCTTTCTTTCCTGGGTTCCATTTGGGTAGTTTAGCTCAGAGACATGCAAATGGCAATAAGGGGGGAGTTGTGGTGAAATGCTCTTTTCTCGTAATTTCCTCTTTGTGTCTGTGTTATAACGCTGCTGAGTAGGTCCCTGATTTCTGTGAGGTCCTCAGCATTCGAGGTTGTGGGCCAGGGCCAGGGCCAGGGCCAGAAGTCATGGTAAAGGAGTCCCTTTCCCTGCCAACTGTGAGTTGGTCAAGAGGCCATCAACCTGACTTGTTGGTGAACAGAAACAAGCAACAAGAAACAACATGGAAAAGTCTGGTAAACTGTAAATCAAAGCAAACGTGCTCTCACTTCATGGGTTTTTCAAAGGGAAATCCAAACGAGTCCGTTTGGATTCTCCGGGGAGAGCAGGAATGCCTTCAAGGCTTTACAGGAACATGTTCTTTGCTTGCCAGGTGCTTGATACTAAAGAAAAACATCTTTTTCCCCTTCTTTCTTTGGCTGCTTTCAGAGGGCTTTGTGTGTCACATAAAGCTGTACACTCAAAGGCTTCCCAGGAAGGAGTTCAAACTGGAATTGGCCCAGAAAGAGGAAATTTCAAATTAAATACTGTTACTGTCTACAGAATAGAAGCACTAATTGAAAAAAGGAATCTAGGATAGTGTACTACTTTACCGCTCCAGGAGACATTTCTTGGCTGGTCTCACACTCAAGATTTAAAAAAAAAAATCAACACATACCTTTTTTCTTTTTTTAATAAAAGCACTCATGTACTTCAGATGTTGCTTACTACTCATTGAGAATTTAAACCTAAGTTAAATTTAATGTGACTTCAAACATAAGGTTGACCTTAATTCTCACTTTTCATCTTTAAAATGCAATCATTGTAAAGTTTACCCTTTTCTCTAATAATAGAAGAAAATAATTTCTTTTGGAAAATGACTTAAGTGAAATCATGAAGCTCTGTTGGCCATCAATATTGATTCAGAGACTGGTGAATGTTTTATAAAAACTGATAAATACTTTCAAGCTAAAATGTTTTAGGCAGAAAATGGGGGAAATAATGTAAGAATTTGTTAAATATTTTGCTGACGTTAGACTCAAACAATTTAGCTAATTATATATTATTATACCCAAATATTTTCCATGTAGTTAAAACCTAGAAAGGTCATAAAAGGTCAGGAAAACAGGTACAGGTCTGTACTCTACTTGGCTTACTGCTGGAGCTGCCAGGGACAGCGCCACATTATTTGTTGAGGTATAAACTGATTGACCTAATAACATTTTTGTGGTAGGCTTGATATCTGTCCTGTATGTTCCTGGGTGTCATGGAATAGTGAATAAGAGTGTGTATTACAGTACTCCCCTCTTTTCTACTTTGCGTCTCATGTGGGCCTCAACTCCTTGAAAGCAGGGCTTCAGTGAAGCTAGCACATCCCCAGACTCCATTGACCTCCATCTTACCACATGCGACAGATTCTCAATTTCTTTCTTGATTCCTCCTCAGCAGCTGATGTCAGTGGCTCCCCCCACTGGATTCTCATCTATTTCTGTGACACTTCTTTTTCCTCCTACATATGTATCTTCCTTATGGGATCTTTTCAACAACCTTTGAAATATATTTCCAAGGTTTTGCCTTTGGCCTTATCATATTCCCACCCATATCTTCTCCCTGGTGCATTCCATTTATCTCCATGGCTTCATTCACCTTCTGCATTAGTGATTCTCAACTCTAGGTTTACACTGAATCATCTAGAGAACTTAAACAATTTGTTTTCTTCAAAAATTTAAATATGGGATTGTCATATGACCCAGCAATCCCACTGCTAGGTGTATAACCCACAGAATTAAAAACAGGTAAACAAATACTTGCATGCTCATGTTCATAGCAGCACTATTCATAATAGCAAAAAGGCAGAAACAACCCAAGTGTCCGTTAATGGATGAATGGATAAACAAAGTGTGGTATATCCATACAGTGGGATATTATTTGGACACAAAGAGGAAAAAGCACAGACACACATGCTACAATATTGGATGGATGAAGCTCAGACACGTAGTGAAAGAAGCTGTCACAAAAGATCACATATTAAATTATTCCATTCATAAAATAATCAGAATAAGTAAATCTATACAGACAGAAGGCAGATTAGTGGTTTCCAGGGGCTAAGGGAGGAGGAATGGGGAGTGACT